AGTTTAAGGTTTTCTCCCACAGTTGTTTCCCAAACTTTGGTGCCCACTGGTCTGCAAGGGAGCTTGAGGGTGCCTCTTTGGTACTGAAACCCTGAGCTATGGCTGCCAGTGTGTGTGTACAGAAGGGTGTCAGCACCAAGAAGGAAGTAGCACTCAGGTTTGCAGAATGACAGAACAGTAAACAGAAACATGCATTGTTATAGAAATGCCAGGTAGATGCTTCTACTTGACAGGGGGCCGCTTTCTGCTGGATCCAATCAAAAGGAAGCGTTCGCGACCCTGTGCTAGTATGAACGTCACAGCGCCGCCTCCTTAAATTTTGTGACCTCAGGCCGGGCACGGTGGCTCACGCCTGTAATCCCAGCACTTTGGGAGGCCGAGGCAGGCAGATCACTTGAGTTCAGGAGTTCGTGACCAGCCTGGCTAACATGCTGAAACCCCGTCTCTACTAAAAATACAAAAATTAGCTGGGCGTGGTGGCGGCTGCCAGTAATCCCAGCTACTGGGGAGGCTGAGGCAGGTGAATTGCTTGAACTGGGAGGCAGAGGTTGCAGTGAGCCAAGATTGTGCCCTTATAAAAGAACAAAACTCCGTCTCAAAAAAAAAAAAAAATTGTGACCTCGCTTGTAAAGAGACAGTCCCAGCTTTCTGTCAATCAGAATCCACATGTCCCTGAAAATCCCCACCTTCTGCAAAAATGCACACTATAAACAACAGGGCTTGGGGCAGACCCTCAAAACCCAGGCAACCTTGTAACCAGAGCACTTATAAAGATGGTGAATGGCACCTGGAGAGACTGACTTGAACCACACCAAAAGTCACGGAAAACACTTTAAATGCATAGACTCAAAGTACAGACCTGCAGAGAACACTCAGTTACAGTAGGACTGGTCTGCAGAGGCAACAAGGACACAGATGATGCCGGAGGAAGCAGAGCCTAGCCAGTGAGGCTGTCACAACCTGCCCTGAGAGCCCTGGGAGATGGGGCAGGCTCTCCCCAAAAGGCCTGGGTGCAGGAGCTCTTCTAAGGTATCCTTCAAATGCAGCCTGAAGGGCTCCTGCTGTCAGCTCAGCAGACAAGCTGGGGCTCTCTCCTTTCCTGCTAACTCTCTTTGCCCCACTCCCTTCCTCTTGCCCAGGAAAAATCACTTAGGAACAAGCTGAGTCCTGTATCATGGGATGGTGTTGCTTCTGCTTCCAGTCATGTGTGAACAAAGGTACGTGGTGGCAATGTGCGCTTCAGCAGGACAGCCATATCATAGCTCTTCCTGTTGTCATGGTTTGGCTGTGATCGCCAATGAAGCAGAGGACACAGACCCAGGATGCCCCCAGCTGGTAGGTCCCAGGCATCACTGGGTTAATGGAAAGGATGCCAAGCTCCTGAAGAAATGGGTCCATCAAGAGGTTGACAATGGGCCAGGCGTGATGACTCATGCCTGTAGTCCCAGCACTTTGGGAGGCTAAGGTGGGAGGATCACTTGAGGTCAGTTCAAGACCAGCCTGGCCAACAAGGCAAAACCCCGTCTCTACTAAAAATACAAAAATTAGCCCAGCGTGGTGGTGCATGCCTATAATCCCAGCTACTTGGGAGGCTGAGGCAGGACAATCGCTTGAACCCAGGAGGTGGAGGTTGCAGTGAGCTGAGATCGCACCACTGAGGTGGAGGTTGCAGTGAGCCAAGATCACGCCACTGCACTCCAGCCTGGGCAACAGAGTGAGA